TTTCTATTCATTGATTCTGACTTTGGGCATTTCTTGAGCATGGACTCTGTCAGGTAGTTTCAGACTAGGAATTTTTGGCCCCTCAGAGCTTTAATTCTAATGGGAAGAAACAATCACAAGACATATAACATGCTAAAGGGTGACAGGTGCTAAGGACAAAAACAATGGAAGATGAAAAGTGTTGGGGGAAGGCTTTCAATTATAGACAGGGCAATCACTGAGCAGGTAATATTTGAATACAGACCTGAAGGAAGTGAGTAAATGAACCATGCAGATAGCGTGAGGATGGTGGGCAGCGAGAACGTTTCAGACAGATGTAACAGCAAGAGCAAGGTCCTTGGCAGAATAGCGTGACTGGCCAGAGAAGTTCAAGTAGAGTGAACAAGAGGGAATGAAAAAGGAGATGAGGTCAAAGAGATCATGACAGATCCTTCATAAGGGAAGTAAGAACAGGTGCAAAGAGACCAACTAATTAGGAGGCATTTGCAATAATCTAGACGACAGCTGAAGGGGTGAACCAGAATCGTGGATGTACTGGATGTAAGATGGGGTAAGACCTCTGGAGATGTGAATGTCTTTAAGGGTACAATAGATAGAATTTGCCAGTTTGATCAGATAATGGGTGTAGAGAAAAACAGGAGTCAAGGAAGACTCCAACATTTCTGTCTCAAGGACTAGAATGGAACTGTCTATCGAGATAGGGAAATCTGCAGGACAAGCAGGTCTGAAGTTCAGTTTTAGACATGTTAGTGTAGGGCTCCTAATCGACCTCTAATTATTTAATTCCAGTTAAATAAGGAGTTATATTTATGCTAGAGTCTTAAGTGCAGATGCCATCAGCACAATGGTGAATTAGTTTGAAACTTTGAACAGAAGTCTTATTCTGAGTCTTATCAGTGGCATGCTGGACACTTTGGGTCTGTCATTCCACAGCTGTCCCTCAGTGAGAAAGAGATGAATTAAAACAGAATCCCAATATAGTCAATAAATACTTCCAAGAAAGCATTACATTCCAAACAGATGCCTCCAAGGCAATCGGTTCTCAACTAATCACATATTCAACAAATGTTTACTGAGCACCTATTATGAACCAGACACTGCCAGGCACTAGGAATATCACAGTGAACAGAGACAATGGTCTCTGCCTTCAGATAAGTTATTGTAATGAAGGAGACCATATGAAAACAATAATATCACATATATAGTTAATTAATTAATTAACAGCAACTGTGGCAAGTCCTACACAGGAGAAGTTATAGAGCATAGACTGTGTACATTTTCTTCCTGGTCAGCTTCCCCTGACACACAGTATAGTCCCAGCACCCTTTCTCTCCAGCAGATCAGCCTCTTGGGGACTGACTACAACACCAAAATGGCACATGTGCTCCCAAGGTAATAAAGTCTTTAACGATGGCAAATTATTCAAGGCTACCTTAATCTTTTAAAATCTTAAATGAAAATATTGGGCTCATATTATTCAACACTGAATGATCTATACAATGCACTGTGAGCTCTCCACTTTTCTAGGATCGGGGGTCATGTAAAATAAAGTATAAACTTCATTTGACTGAAATTTTTTTAAAAAACGACACCTGAATTCTACTCTACAATAACTACTTACGCAGAATTTCAAGAAGAAAGTAAGAATCAAAGTGGTTCTTAGGGTCACAGTTGACAATGCCAGTATTCATACAAGAATAAAATTTTAGGGCTATAAAATAGACATAATGTAGAGAGGATGCAGCCCAACATGACCTTCATTTGATAGAACAGAAAACTCATGCTCAAGAAGATTACCTGACTTGCTCAAAGCTAAACATCTAGTGGGCAGCAAAGTCACTAACCAGAATCTCTCAACATTTCATTCAGGCTGCACCAGTACAAGTCTCACCCTGTATTTTCCTATCAGAAAAAATGAAATAGAGACAGATTTGTAGTATATAGTTCTGAGTATATGGTTCTGAGAGGGAAACAAGGGACAATTACTGTATCATGGGGAGAGGCTCCAAGAGTGCAAAGGATGAAGAATTTCAAGAGGGAGCAGTAGGGTAAACCCTTCGGGTCCCCTCCCACTGTGGGAGCTTTTCTGTCCTCTCAATAAATCCTGTTTTCTCAACAAAAAAAAAAAGAGGGAGCAGTAGAGATAGAGAAACAGAAATGTGCTGGGCAAAGCTTCTTTACTTATAAGACAAATATATTAATTAGCTATCAAACAGAAGAGTTAAGAAAAACAAGCCTACCCATGGTTGATGTCTATTAGAAAATTATCCACCAAATGGAAAATAAGATATTTATGAATTAGGTCTCTTTCTTTCATATGACTTACGTCTACTCCACACTGTTAAGAGCAGGAGTAAAGTGAAATATCTTTATTATGAGCATCGTTAAGTTATGGAAGAAATTCTCCATGGGTTCTCCTAAATTGTTTAGAAGCAGGTGATTCTGCAAAGGCAGGTTACCTAGAAAATCTTCATGAGGAATGAAAGCTTCTCCACCATTATCAAATGAATTAATTTATGAAGCTTCTCCAATACTAAAAATCCCTAATAGCTGAAGACATTGAACTGTACTTAAAATTGTGGAAATAAAAATAAATCCATAAACTTAAAAAGCAAAAGTCTGAGTAATTCAATTAATGTCATGAAGACTTGATTACAAATAGTATAATGTATGAAATCTTAAAATATGACTCAGACAATAAAAGTTGTTTCTCTAACTCTTTTTTTTTTTAGTTTTTAAACAATTTTATTGATATGTAACTAATCTACATACAATTTATTCACATAACATGTACAATTTAATGTTTTTAATAGATATGCAGGGTTGTGCAACTATCACTATTATCTAATTTTAAAGAGTTTCTATCCCCTCCGAAATCTTCCTTTAACTCTTTAAAGAATCTTCATCCAGAATAGAAAAGGCTATTGACTTCCTGCTTCTTTTGAGTCACAGTCTTACTCTGTCACTCAGGCAGGAGCGCAGTGGCAAGATCATAGCTCACTGCAGCCTTGAACTCCTGGGCTCCGGTGATCCTTCCACCTCAGCCTCCTAAGTAGCTGAGACTACAGATGCACACCACCACACCCAGCTAATTTTTACCTTTTTTTTTTTCCGTAGACAAGATCTGGCTATGTTGCCCAAGCTGATCTCAAACTCCTGGGCTAAAGCAATCCTCTCACCTTGGCCTCCCAAAGTGCTAGGATTACAGGTGTGAGCCACCAGCCTGGTCGAGTTTCCTGCTTCTTTATAGCTCATCTGCTTTTACTGATCAAAATGATTTTTAAAAATAATTTTCGAATTCTTGAAGAAGTTTACCTATCATTGCTTTATTTTTCTTAAACTCAAAGCTGGGATAATTTCGTGCTCCCCATTCCTCAGATTGTAAGCTATTTCAAACTGCTCGACAAGACACAGAGATCTACATAAGAGCTTCTTTTGCTCACTACTATACTGCCAGAAACTGACACAGTGCCTGATGTACACAACTCATTCAAAAACCACTGATTGAATTAAACCGATTTAAATGAAATTATAGACTATGAAAGGTATATCTTAACATGACTTTGTGTGCACAAGTAAAATACATTGGAACTGGCACCTAAAAATGACAGTGAGAGACCAACAGCTACATTATATCAAAGTCTTTATGTTATACAATTGTGATATGTCACAGAAGAAGGTTTAGTCTGGAGTACGTCACTGAATGCAAGTAAAGAAAAGTTCCTTAGCACAAGATGAATGAAAGTTTATAGATTTGTGTAGTGCCAAACAATTTACAAAGTATTTCTATATTTCTACATGCACACATATGTATATAAGTATACATGCCATTATATATAAATTGCATAATATATTTACATATAGTACTTATTTTATATAGCATACATATATATGTAGTAGGCATGATTATCCATTCTTTATTGATCATGAAACCAAAGTTCTAAGAAACTGAGTGTCATGTAGCTAAGAGGCCAGAGAGTCTGAAAGCAAACTCGGGTCTGAACTCCAGATTCAGGTGAACCCTCTATTTGCTTTCAGCTTGATTTTCTTTCATTTTATTTTAGATTTGGGGGTACACGTGCAGGTTGTTGCATGGGTATATTGTGTGATGGTGAGGGTTAGGCTTTTATTGAACCTGTCACTCAAAGAGTGAGTATATCCCATAGATAGTTTTTCAACCTTTGCCCCCTCCCTTCCTCTTTCAGGAGTTCCTGGTGCCCCCAGTATTTAGATACTGCTTGTAAGTAAGAATATGTAGTATTTGGTTTTCTATTTCTATATTAATTCACTTAGAATAATGGCCTCTCAACTGAATATTTAAAAGATTTCAGGATTTTTACTTAAAATACCCTTATCCATGGGAGATACATTTCAAGACCCCCAGTGAATGCTCAAAAGCATAGATAGTACCAAATTTTACATATACTATATATATGCTTTTCCTATACACACATACCTCTCTGTCTCTGCCTCTGTCTCTGTCTCTGTCTCTCTGACTCTCTCCCTATCAAAATATCTTACTGTTCCATAGCATGGGTAACTGAAACCACAGACAGGGGGCAGGGGGCTACTATACTAGTAACTTTGTGACAACCCCCAGTGTCTTCACAGGGAATGGGTAATAAGTCAGACAAGAAATCTTGGCATGTGGAGACTACAGAAAGCTGTCTCTTGTCTATCAATTTTTGGTGCTTGAGTCTATTATATCTTTAAAATATTTTACTATTAAATAGTATAGAAATTGAGATTTACTTCTAGTTAAAAGCAAAAATTATAACAACACAGATCAATGAAACAATGCTCCAGCAGTGAAACAAGGGGTGCCCTGCATCCATGTCATTGAAAAAGAAAAAACAGAATTCTTTATTCCTTTTCCCAGGCAACATCATGCCATCAGCTATCCAGAGTGCTAAGGCTAGAGGAAGGCACTCTCAGGCTCAACCATCTTGCCCTGCCTTGTCTCCCCAGGTCACTACTGCACACAGTCAGCCATGCCTCACCTGGCTGTCTCCTTCCACTCCATCTCCTGCCCATCCACAGCCAGGAGCTCATCCAGTTCCGTGAAGAGCTGAGGGGGAGCTGGGCTGTCATCCTCCTCGCCCAAGATGAATCGGATGCGTTCTGCGGCCGGAGAGACTGCAGAAGTGAAAATACTGTGGTTAAACAATGGCTGGACAACCCTGTTGAAAGTGCAGCTCCGAGCTCTTCCTCTCTCCCCAGGGTCACTGGGCTTCCCTTCCACATTATCAGTGGACATCTTTCTTGCTAAACCTCCCTAATCCCCAATCTAAAGCCAAAAGAAATCCAAGCCCTTCTCTACTCCTTTGGTTCCAAACTGTATCTCAGCTCTCCACCACTCTCCAGAAGGACAGCACTCCAATCCTGTGTGGTGTGTGACAAAGAACCTTTAGCCCTCAGATGAGCTGAGGTCCAACCACACGATATTCCCTCCCTCCCCACTTATGGCCTGTCTAGAATTATTAGACAGAAACCTGCTTAAACCAATCACATTTTCACAGAGCAGTGGGAGGGGTAACAGCACCCCAATCCTGAGTTTCCTCCAGGTCCCCACCTCCCTTCCACCCTCCCTCTGTCCAATGCCTAAAGCCCAAGTCCTCGCCGGCTCCTCACCACCCATAACTAGCTAGCTGCAAAGTTGAAGGAATATTTAACAAGATGGGGCCTCTTCTTTACATAATGGTAGTACCCAAAAATGTTTAGTCACACTTCAATACACTTGAAAAACAAGCCCAAGTAAAATATTGTACACCTGAGGAAAAAGAAAAAAAAAAAACATTTTCCAACACACTCAAGCACATAATTGAATGCCCTACTAGCTCCTTTTGACCTCATCTCCTGAAAATCATGTAATGAAAAATTAACTAGAATTTCACTCAGGTCATGGGTTATTTTCCCTTCTTAAAAAAAAAAAAGAAGGAAGGATGGAAGGAAGGAAGGAAGGAAGGAAGGAAGGAAGGAAGGAAGGAAGGAAGGAAGGAAGGAAGGAAGGAAGGAAAGGAAGGCAGGCATTTGACATTTGGGAGTTGATGGTCATATTACAAAAGTAAGGCCCATGAATGCTCTACAGCAGTAATTCCTAGGAAAAAACAAGAAAGGTATATATACGTGAATGCCAGTTCAAGTACACACAAATATGTATATGCACACACACGGGTGTATATACATATAAACATATATATACACATATGTATATATACATACATTTGTAGAAATGCATGAATACAAACAGCCCAATAAAATAAGAAATTCTTACCATCTGAAAACTACTGTAATACAACACAATAAAATTCCATAGATAAAATTGTATTTAGTACAAATAAATCTATAAAAAATATTCACCCTAACAAGTAATCAAAACTCACTGTTAGAAATAAAACACATGTTTTACTTATTTAAATGGCAAGAAAGAAAAAGTGATAATATCAAGGTGGATAAGGGTTTAGGAATCACACACCAGAACTTTCTGATTCATATTACTGGTAGAAGCCTAAATGGAAACATCTTGCTGAAGGGAAATTGGTAGGCTATAAAAATGCTTTAAAAGTGAACAATGACCATTTGTATACCTAACCCCAAACTGTACACCGTATCTTTAAAATAAAAAGTTTTTTAAAAGAGAGAAGAAAAAAAGTGTATGTATATTTCTTCCACTAGAAATAGATTCATTCCAAATAAGCAAAAATTATCTCAAAGATCTAGCTACATTGCCTGAGCCCGCAGGTTCGAGACCCTCCTGGGCAACTTGGTGAGACCTCATCTCTACAATAAATCAGAAAATTAGCCGGGCGTGGTAGCGCGCGCCTGTAGTTCCAGCTACTTGGAAGGCTGAGGCAGAAGGATCGCCGGAGCCCAGCAGGACGAGGCTGCGGTGGCCAGAAGCGGCCACCGCACTCCAGTCTGGACAACAGAGTGAGACTCCAACTAAAAAAATAAAATAAAAGATCTAGCTACAGAGGTGGTCATTCTATCATTATCAATAATTGATAAAAAATAGACTAATCCCAAATGTCCAAAAGGAAGAACCGGTTAAACAAAGTATGGTACAACTATACAATAAATTATGACACAATCATAAAACATGAAGTTGAGATGGCTATAATTGTGACATTTATACCATATAAAGTTAAATTAAAAATAAAAATCATAGGCATAAAATGATCTCATTTTAGGAAAAAGTACATATGTATATTTCTATAAAATGAGGCAGTCCTCGCTTTGCTCAGTCTGATATATGCATCTCATTTATCATGGTTTAGTTAAATAATACTAGTCCCCCAATAACACAGTTCATGAATTGCAATTGCATGAAGTACAAGCTTTGCCTTTAGCTCTTCAGTCAATAAGTCACTCCAGAAATCTGTGAGTAGCTGTGACTATGGGTGTGATGGTGAGGGTTACTTGGTATACAAGTAACAGGTGTGCATCATGATCACTGACCAATCATGACACTTCTTTCAAAGTCTGTCAGTGATCAGTCACTGTGTGTTTGCTATTCGGTTCAGGCACAGACAGCAAAGTATGTAGATGCCTTCTTGACTCCCAGTGATAAGCCCACATGACAGGGACGATCAAAAGAGAAAACCGACCAACAAAGTACAACACAGAAACAAAAATGGATAATACTGAAAGTAAAATGTGTATCAAATGCTAATGGACAAGACATAGCTGACCATGGAGTGTCAGCATTGCTGCCATTTGCTGTTTGAGAGATTCTAGACAGACAGGCAGAGGAACCTAGTGAAGGTGAACTCATCAACATAAACAAAGAAAGGGGTTGTGATTGAAAAGGGTGATGATGTTCCTATAGTAAGTGACGCTGGCCAAAAAAATAATAACAAAAACAAAAAAAACCCTCCACATTAAAGGAACTCCAGGAGACATTTCCTGACATGAAAAGCCCAAAGGATAAGATTTTCCAAGAGGATCCAAATGTAGAGGGCATGACAATTTGTCTAAGCATGAAAAAAAAAAAACGCACAGTCCATATCATAAGTGGCACCGCAAGAAGACAAGCTCTATTCAAACTACTCCTGATAAGATTTTACAAAGAAACAAACCACTTTAACCTCAATGTTTCTTTTGTTTGTTTGTTTGTTTGTTTTGAGTTGGAGTCTCACCATCATCCAGGCTGGAATGTAGGGGCAAGCTCACCGCCACCATAGCATCGACCTGCTAGGCTCCAGCGATCCTTCCAGCTCAGCCTTCCAAGTAGCCAGAACTGCAGGCGTGAGCTACCACGCCCAGCTAATTTTTGATTTATTGTAGAGAGGAGGTTTCACCAAGTTGCCCAGGGTGGTCTCAAATCCGCAAGTTCAAGTAATTCACTGGCCTCAGCCTCCCAAAGTGCTGGGATTACAGGCTGAGCCACCCAGCCCAGCCAACCAAAGGTGTTTCTGATATTTTAAGTAGCTAGGTACTAAATAAGTATCCGTTTCACCTTTTTCTGGTCATCTCCTTGTATTTTGTAGCCAAAAACAAGAGAGATTTCAGTGACTTGAAAAATTTTTTAAAGTCAAGGAACAATAATTGTTTGCATTGATTTTAGGATTACTTTGCATAATTGCAGTTTGCATGCTACTTCTGTGGTCCTGCACTACTGTGCAAAGCAAGGACTGACTCTATATACACAGGCATATTTAAATATACAAGTATATTTTAAAAGTTACACAGTTTATTTCTAGGGTTCTATTTTCTTACATTCAACTTTTCTCTAAATTCCAAAGTGTGTACAATTCATTCATGTATTCAGTCAGCAAATATTTATTGGACACTGTCTATGTTCTTAATAGGCTCTGAAAATAAAGAAAAGAACTTGACCAAAAGATCCCTGATCTTACAGCGTTCACATGCAAGTAGGGGAAATAAACCTTAACTAAGTAGTTAATAAATGTGTTAGGTGAATCAAAAATTGGTACATAAACCAGTACAAGAAAAATACATAAAATAAAAATTAAAAGTATGTGTCTGCAGAACATTAAAATAAAGTAATTGAATGCATATCAATATAGGATACAAAGACTATGTTTTACTTCTGTTATTAGAAAAAAATAGCTTGAAATTTCTTCACATCTCTGAGAAAAAAAACATGTAGTTACAAGACTTTAGAGGAAAAATATTTTCAATGCCTTTCTAACCAAGAAGTAGGAAGTGTAAAATTATTTTAGGGGACCAGTAGGGCATGAAAATGAAGAAATGACAGACAGTATTTGGAGTCTGGACAATACTTCTTAAGGAGTAGAACGTTCACACTAGTAAAAGTTTAGTCAGTTTATTCACTTTACTCCTAGTGTGGTTGCAATGACAGTCACAATTTTGCATTCACATTTCATCACCATTCAACATCAAAGATCCCTAAGGTAGAATTAACATTTAGAAGAGAGAAGTCTAGCATCAGACAATCAACTTTTTGTCTATTTCTAAAGATGTAAAGTATGTCTGTCCCTACCTCTCACAAAAAAATAACTGTTTCTCCTGCTTAAAAACAGAATCTCAGGCAATAAACAACACATACCGCTACTTAGCCCTAATCCATGGAATATTACTCTGTGGTCTGACATTCTCAATTTAAGAAAATAGGAATCACTACTTACCAGATGGAAACTCCACAGTGACTTCTGCAAGATGGAATGGAAGGAAGATGTAAAATTACCTCCAGGTCTTCCTCTCTAGGTACCATGCCTGACACCTTAGGTGTCTTATTTATTAAATACAGGCTGCTGAGCAACCCGTAAATCAATCCTTTGAGGATTAAAATTCCAAAATCATGGGTCATAAACTAGCTTGCTACTCTAGTAAGTTTCTTTCCTCAATTGGTCCCCTAGTCCTTCCCAGGAATTAAAAGTAAGAGGCCACAGCTATTGTATTGTAAATATGCACCTGTGGGGGTGGGGGCATCCTCTATGGCCAGCAAATACCCTTCCCAATTGCTAACATCACTTTTAACACAAAGATATGCAGAGAGTTTCCAAAATGAAGTATGCCAGAAGTTCCTTTTATTTTATTTTATTTTATTTTATTTTTGAGTTGGAATCTCACTCTGTTGCCCAGGCTGGAGTGCAGTGGCACACTCATGGCCACCCCAGCATCGACCTGCTGGGCTCAAGCAATCCTTCTGCCTCAGCCTTCCAGGTAGCCGGAACTACAGGCATGTGCCACCACACTCAGCCAATTTTTTGAGTTACTGTAAAGATGAGGTCTCACCAAGTTGCCTGGGCTGTTTTCGAACCCGTGAGCAATCCCCTCACCTTGGTCTCCCAAAGTGCTGGAATTACAGGCTTCAGCCACTGCACCCAGTCTCATATTTTCCTATAACCTTTGATCATATAGGAAAATGAACCAAATACTAGAGAACCAAATACAAGAGAATAATAGTATAGACTAGAGTTGGACTGTCTGGGTTTGAATCTCAACTCTGTTACTTGTTAGCCATGCAACCTGAGCCTTGGT